AGGCTGAAAGCTCTACAAAAACAGTGGCAATGTCTGTTGTCCTTAACAGTAGACCCCAGCACCCATAGCCTAGACTTCATGCTAAAGTGCAGTGACGTTTCAAAAATCAAACAGCTCACATCACTCTCTAGCTCAAACCCTCTAATGTCTTCCTCATCGCTATCTCAGAGTCTACCAGACACCCATCCTCCAAGAGCACCTCTCCTACCCAGTCCATTCATCTACACTCACACTAGCTTCCCTGATGATCCTTGAAATCTCCAGGCCTGTGCCTACCTCTGAGCCTTTGCATATGCTATTCTCACTGCTATGAGAGTACTTCTCTTGACATTTGCATGGCTTACCTCTACTTCATTCAGGTCTCAGATCAAATGTGACAACTTTGGAAGGCTCCCTGTTGACTCCAGCATGCTCATGCTGTCACTCCCCTCGCCTTCCTTTGCTTTACTGTCCTTTATTTATTAATATTATGGTAAATAGTAAACTTGATTATGGTCTATTTTTCTTACCTAGATGGTAAGCCTACGAGGGCAGGGATTCTGTTTCATTTGATACTATATCCTTGGTCCCAAGGCTAATGCAAGCCCTCAATAAATATTTAAGTAGACACATACCAACATCAACTTCTATATAGACAGAGAAAAGTAAGAAATCAGAGATAGAGTTAAAGCCTACTTCTTTCTATCTTAAAAATCATAAGCATAACAGTCTCCTAGTTGCAATTATGGGCGTTCACCACGTTTTATTTTTCTTAATAAATGAATTAAACGAATAAACATTCTCAAACTCCTGACTAATAAAGCAGATGACACTGACAATGAACTATAAACAAATGTGTGAATAATAATGGACTTGCTCATGCTTTCACTCATAAAACAAACAAAGTGAAGATGACTTTAAAAACAATGACATGATTCCAAGACCAATAAACTTTACACACTGCACTAAAATCTCCATGTGGTTAGCCCGGCATGTGTATTTGACAATTAAAAAAAAAACAACAGTCAAGCGCTTACCCATTCTTCTAAAATGCGTGACACTGCTTCACTCGCCCTCGCCATGTTCCTGCAGGCCAAGATCACGTGTGCACCATGGAGGGCAAAAGACTTGGCAGTTTCAAACCCTATGGTTTAAAGGAAAGTCAGTGTTAGAAAACATAACATCAACATAGTGAGTCATGTTGAATGGCCTTTATCGGAGCACCACTTACATTACGCCAGGTTCTCAACCAGGGGTGATTTTGACCCCCAGGGGACAGGTACAAATGTCTGGAGACATTTTCAGTGGCTACAGTTGTGGGGTAGGGTCCTACTGGCATCTAGTGGGCAAAGGCCAGGCATGCTACAAAACATCTTACCATGAACAGGTCAGCCCCCGACAACACAGAATTATCTGGCCCGGACTGTCAACACCGTGATGGTGAGAAAACTTGTCCTAGGGATGCAGTGATTTCAAAGATGAAGACCGAGCCATAGAAGAGTTCACGGCATGTCCAGCCATTTAACCATCAATAATGACCAGATCCTGTGCTCACGATAAGGACTTGATGCTCTACTCTATGGTAAGTGTCCCCAGCACCTCTGCTTCCACCAACGTCACCTAGGTTTCTTAGCCCCGTTTCCTATTTAAAACAATTAGAAAAGCTGTACACAACAACACAGGTGCACACACACACATCTGTTTGAAGGCATCAGGAGGGCACTCTGACTGAGAATCTGGGGGGCCAAGATCTGCAAAAATTGCAAGGCCAGCATTTGGCAGTTTTTTCCCTTCAAGGCATATTTCATTTCCAAACATAGTGGTTGGAAGCCTGAGAAGATGGGCTGAGCTTTTGGCAATTTTATAACAGGGAAAAAGACCCAAATTTGAGCTCAGGACCCACCAGGAAAGGGCCACGGTACACACACCAAACCTTTGGTTGGGACCCTAAAGAGTTATACCCTCGCTGTAATAACAAGAGACAGTCCAGACTTCACAAGACTGGAAACTCAGCTTTAGGCCATTTCAATTCCTGGTTTGATTAAAGTGATCAGTCCCTATCTATCCAATTTCCAGCAGCAAGAGAAAATATTCTCTGGAGGAAGATACCATTATCTAGCATCTCAAATTACCACTATAATTATTTCAAATACTCATATAAACTCTCAGACAGTCAAACAAAATAGCTAAGCATACAAAAAGACAAAACTTCACCAAAGCCAGTGGGGAAAAAAATGGAAATAAATGCACAGGACATCTGTCTAATCAAGTTATTCAGAAACAGTGATTAAAATAACTCTGACTGATAGGTTCAAGGAACAAAAAGGCAAGATGGAGAATTCTGCCAGGGAATTAGAAACAATAAAAAAAATCAAACAGATATCCTGAAACTTAAACACAATAAGAGTAATTAAGAATTCAACATATAGGTTAACAGAATACGAGACATAGCTGATGACAAGATTAAGGAAACTATAAAATAAGTTAAAAAAAATCCAAAGTGAAGTATAAAAAGAAAAACATAACTAATGCAGTAAAGCAAAGCACTGAAGAGACATATGAAACACATTCTCCTATGCTCTTACACATACATGTAATTTGAGTTCCAAAAGAAGTGAAATAGATTAAGATAAGCAATATTTGAAGACAGAATGGCTGACAATGTTACAAATTCAATGACGGATATATGGCCACAAATTCAAGAATTATCCAGAGCCACAAGCAGAAATATATATGTGTATGTGTTGACAGGTATATGTATAAATGTGTGGGTCTACATGTATGTGTATATATATGTGCAAGCCACAAGCAGAAATATATGTGTACATATATATATTTATGTCTATGTGAGCCGCAAACAGAAATATATATGTGGCTGTATACCCGTATGTGTGTATGTGTGTGTAGACACACACATATACACATACATGTCAAACCAAGGCACATCAGAGTAAACTGCTAAAAACTGCAGATAGTTTTAGAAGTAGTTAGAGACCAGTAGTTACAAGACTGATAGTTATACCTCTAAGGAAAATGATGGAAGTCACAGCTGAAAGAAATAAAACTTTCATCTTAGAATTCTATACCTAGTACAAATATTCTTGAAAAACAAAGGACGAGGCCAGCCGCGGTGGCTCACGCCTGTAATCCCAGCACTTTGGGAGGCCAAGACAAGCGGATCATGAGGTCAGGAGATCGAGACCATCCTGGCTAACATGGTGAAACCCCGTCTCTACTAAAAAAACAAAAAA